AAAAAAACGGGGGTAAATTGGAAGAATCAATTTGTATGGTCTAATCAAATGCTAAAAAGCAAGCAATATTGTTGCTTAATGTGGTAAATTGATGCTGATTCTCGGGCATAAATACGCCGCACTATTGCAGATTCTGTATGAATTTTACTAATATAAATTAATCCAATTGAAGCCTATACACATATTTGACACTAGTGTTATGGTCCTACTTAGGATTTTATTTTAGTTAGATATTTCATTTACTTTGTAACATCTATTTTAGATTTTAGTATATGTTTGTTTTTTGTATTTGTTTATAATTTTAAATTATGATTCATGGTTCTCTACAGTGTTTTTTTCTAAAAAAATACACGTAAAACGAGAATAATTTTAAATTATGGTTATAAATCTATGAACCAAACGTCAGGAGAATTAGTGAAAATTGCAAGTTAAAATCCACTCGAATGAATTTTATTCCATCTTTTTATATTTGTTTAAGATATGAGTTCGTATCAGACACCAATTGAAACCCAAAGATCTTGAGGGGGAAAAAAAATGAAAATCAAAGAAAATAAATTAAAATAAAATAAATGCATGCAAAATACGTACCGGCGTGTGAACTATCAGTGGGCGTGCCAGACTTGGCAAGAACTTCAAGGTCGACGAGGCTCAAAGACATAAGGCCCAAAGTGAGCCCAGACATGAGCCCAGCAAACAAAACCAGAGCTATTATTATCACAATGCGAATGAAGAAACCCGTTTCACAGCAACTGTATTCTATTGCCATATTTCTTCTTCTTCTTCTTGCGTGAGACAGGCAGAGAGGGAATAATGAAATAGGTAAGAGGTTGTATATAAATTATGCACATATGAACATATTTATATATATAGACGTGACAAATTGCTGCAAAATGCCAAAAGAATGAAATCGGATTCGAATATAATTTCTTTTTTTTTTGTTTTGTTGGTGCTTTTCATGTGAAACGTCTCGAACATACATCTTCTTTTCTTTTCTTTTATATATATATATATAAAAAAGATAACTGCTGTTTGATTCATTTATTATTTTCTTAAAAAGAGCTTTCCGACCAGGAAAAAAAGGACTGCGGTGGAGGGTCGGTGGCAAGGTCTATGTATAAAGTATAGATAATATTTATGGTAAAGGAAGACTTTTTTTACTATAGATACCGTAAATTAGGTTGAATTAATCTTTTAATACTTAAGGTCTATTTAGTTTATTAATTTGAGTTTTTAATTTAAGTTAAAATGTGATTTTATGTGATAATTTTTTACTATAATAAAAAAGTTAGATATAATTGTTTCTAAGAGCTTTTTACCGTAATAAAACTCAAATTCTAAACTTGAATCGGTAAAATGAACGAGACGTTAAACATATAATTGAAAGTAGTTTTGCGTTGTGTGTCAAATTATGTGGTATCGTTCATTTCACTGATTCGAGTTTTCAGTTTTAGGTTTTTACAGTAAAAAGTTCTCAGAAAATATCACATTTAACTTTTTTTACTACAATAAAAAATTCTTAAAAAATATCACATCTAAACTCAAATTAAAAACTCGAATTCGTAAAGTGGACGAGCTTCCTACACTTTTAGATTTGACGCCTAAATCAACAGTATATATTGACCGGTATTACAAAAAAAAAGTCTTAACTAGGGTAAAAATTGTCACATTAATATTTGTAGCAGTCATAAAATCAATCCACCATCATCTTTGTGGGGCCCACCTGCTGATGTGGCCAGCTAGTAAATGTCCTTGAAAGAGAAGCTGACGAAAAGACTCGTCTTGGATTGTCTTGTAGAGGTAGGGTAGTTGATGAGTGGAAAATTGAAGGATATATGCGTAAGATAATAGTAGGATAGTATTCCATTATTATTCCATTAAGTATCTAAGGAGATGTTTAATTTATGAATTATAATTATGTGATTAAAATTATTTTTTTATTTATGTATATTTTTTATGAAAAAAAATACTGTAACGAATCATAAATCATGATTCAAATCATAATTTAAATTTTCTAATCAAACGTCTCCTAAGCTTCACGAAGACACAGCCCACCTTCCACTGGAACTTCACTTTCTCAAGACTCCTTTTTGAGATATAACAACACGGAGACGGAGGGATTCATCTTTGCGAAGCCCTCAATTTATCACATGCGAAACCCTCAATTTATCTCATACGAAGCCGAATATAAATACTTTTTTTTTTGTTTTTCAAATTATAGGACATTTTATCCGAAGCCAAATAAAAATGTTTTTTTTCAAGAGGGCAATAAAAATTGTGAGGAGAGAAAATATCACGTGTGTTGGAATAAAATTTCGTTCAACACTCTTTTAAGGTCGTTAGACCAAAAATTTAAATTAAATAAACGAGTAATCTGAGAAAATTAGATGAACACTTTAAGAATACAATTAACCTTTTAAAAAATAGCAAGAACAAACGAGGACAATCACAAAGCAATTGTATTCAGAAATAAGTGTTTGTCTTTTCCTCTCAAATTATGGAAATTTATAGTACATTGAGATTGTGGGAGTTTAATTTTTCCATTAATTCGAGAGTTTATTATCTCTTAATTACAATGAGGCTCTTCACCTTTTTGTGAGTTAAAATTGATAAATAATCAATGAGAATTAATTTTCAATCATTTAGGTCCCGTTTAGTTTGCTGATTCGAGTTGAGATGTGACTTTATGTGAAAGCTTTTTACTGTAGCAAAAAAGTTAGATGTGATTATTTTTTAGAGTTTTTTACTGTAGCAAAATTCGAACTCTAAACTCGAATCGGTGAAATGAATGAGTAGTTAATGTCTTCAATTAGCGTCGGTTACTTCACTCGATGACATCACACAACCTTTGAACTTTCGGCTCATGAGAACTTGGGCTTTGGCGATCTTGGACTCGAGAGAGATTGGCCTCCGGCGAGCTTGGGCACGGGAGAGATTGACCTCATACGAGACTGGCCTCAGGCGAGCTTGAACTTAGGAGAACTTGGGCTCCGACGAACTTAAACTTAAACGTATTTGGACTTGGGAGAGCTTTTGAATTTATTGCGCGTTTAATACTTCTGAAAATGCCGCCCAACAACATGTTCATTTTCCTTGTCAAGATCCATTTCTAGCCTCAATTCCTAACTCTCCAAAGCTCAGTAGTTTTTGGAAGGCATAAAACAAGTTAAGGCCAACTAGTGTGCAAGATTTGTTGATTTCCTTTTTGTGTCGCTTCCGTAAAGTAAAACAATCTGCAATGGATTTTACCCCGGGGTATAACAGCTTGTAGTTTTTCATAGACGTCCTTTTTGCAAACGATAAATTGCGCACGAACATGTTTTTATCCTATACGGTGTTTACATTAGTGAGTACCTACTTGTAATGCAAGATAATATAAGTAATTTGCTGGATTAGGTTTAAAAGTTTTGGCCTTTTGCTGTTTTATTTATTTACTTTATTGGGTTTGTCAGATCTTCCTCACATTTTGATCATTATATAAAACAAATCCAAGTAGTTTATGCAACTCACAAAATTAACCTTTAAATAACGGTCACCCCCAAGAACACTTCACGTCAAAAACATTTTCATAAACCTCCTCAGAACATCCATACACCACATTTATCATCTGAGCTTAAACCAACCAGAAAAAAAGAAAAGATAAAAAATAAAAAAAAGCTTATAGATCATGATTATCTGGGAAGATTTTTCCAATAATGCAAAGGATCTTTTGCCACGTTATCTTTGTCATTGATCTTGAATACTTTCGACTTTCAGAGGAGCTATTCATTGTCGGATTAATTGAGAGAAAATTGGCATGTTAGAAAAGAGAACGATCTTCCAATTAAATCCTAATCCTGCTATTGAAATGTTTTTTTTTTTTTTTTTAATCTTAAGGATACACCAAGAAAAGGTTTGATCATTTTCTTTAGTTAAATTTAGCTCTCACTAATGAAATGTATCAATTTATATTAAATCCAATATGATAGGAAACGATTGGACACCAAATAGTATACTTTGGGAATCACCTTATGCTATGCTGGGTTAAAAAAGATAAGACGAAAACCATAATAATGAATAATTAATCGATTTTATTTTTTTTTCTCTAGAATCGATTTGATTTAGTTTGATTTTGATGTGTTAAGTTTTCCTATTTTTATCGGTTTTCAAACGCCCCAAGTTCATCGTTAAGTACTTTTATTTTCTATATATAACGACATGTTGTCTTATAGGTCTCGTTTTAGTGATGCCTTGGCCTCCAAGTTTTAACTTTACTAAATACGACTTGCCATTATCATCTACGAAATAAAAGGATATGTCAGACGCGTTTGGAATTTATTTTAAACTGATTTTATTTTTGAATAAAAATAAAAACATTTTTAATCTCTGATATAAAATATTTTTAAAAATACGTTTAGTAATTTTATTAAAAAATTATTTTTAGTATAAAAAATTCATTAATATCTCTTTATTTGAGAGAAGAGAAAATGAAAATAAAAAATAAAAAATTATTAAAAATTATTTTTTATTTTTCACTCATTTTACGTTAAATTAAAAAATTATTTTTATTTTTATTTTTTATTTTTATTACGCCAATCGTCATTTTAAATTTTTTTTTTTCTTAAAACGTGAAAAATAAAAACGACATCCAGGGCTGTCGTATTTTCGGATGTCGGTTTATTCAAACGACAAACCGTAATCTCCACACTCGCCTGTACCCTCCATACTCTCGTCAGAAGCTTAGAAAAACATTTCCGATTTTCAGAAGAAGAAATATCTCATTTCGAAACCAAGCTTCGATCAAAATGATGAGAGCCATTTCTCTCTCACGTCCTAGTCTTCTGAGCCCTCTCTTCCAAACACTAAATTCTCTCCTATCGCCATCATGCTCCGGCCGGATCCTCCCGGCGCCGCCGATAAGGGTTCCGTCGGCGCCGTACTCCAGTGATTCGACGGCGTACGAGGATGTTCCGGGCCTTGAAAATCTCCCAAAGCTGTTCGTGGTTCAGCCCCGTCTCCGTCCGGAGCCCATTCTGCAGGCCAAGCTCAACGAAGCTCTCTGCCTCGCGAACTCTCTAGAAGAACAGCGTGACGGCGGCTTCGGCGTCGATTACTCCGACAAGGACGTTCCTAACCACATTGTCGTTCAAAACCCTTCGGCTAAAGGCCACAAGGCACGCGCTGGTACGTCTTGAATTTCGACCTTTCTAATTGAGAAAATTTTCGATTTTTATTCAGTTTTGTGATTTGGATTGTAATAGTAATCTGCATTGTGTTTTTATTTTATTTTTTATTTTTTATGATTATATCTGTGGTGTATTTGAATTTGCCTCTTGCAGACACATATTTTGGTTTAGGGACAGTGGAAAATGTTAAAATCCAGCTAAATCTTTTGGAATCAAAGGTAGTATTTTTTTAATTTTAAAATTTAAAATTTAAAATTTTTCTTTGTGGGTCTTTGTTTGAGATTTTACAGTACTTATAGTGTTAACAGGGTGTGGTGGATGCTGTTTTTGTAAACACAATTTTATCCGGGCATCAGCAAAGGAATTTGGAGGCAAGTTTTCTCCTCCATTTGGTGGGATTTTTTTTTT